CATGAACGTTTCGCGCGTGATTCGCGCGCCACGCGCATCGCGATCGATCGTCGTTCAAAGAAAGAATAAAAAAAGAATAGACAAAACAAACACACGACCGCAATCGTGACGTAATCGAAAATAAAAATAATAATGCTAACTCTAGTACTGATAATTATTATTACAATAATTATAAGGGCAATAATAATAATAATAATAATAGCAATAATAATGAATATAATAATAATAATAATAATAATAATCGTGATAATGACAATAATATTAATAATAATAATAATAATAAGTATCCAGTAAGTTCTCCTAAACGCGTTTAAACAATCACTCTCGTAAATCGCTGTAACAAAACGAAAAAGATTAACATAAAAATAAACTCAAGGAGAAACCTTACAAAATAGGCCTATATATAATATATATATATATATATAATATTTTATGCGTGTTATGTATGTATACGTACATATCTGTATATATATATTTATGTACATAAAAAGTTAACATAACGTGCCATCGACTCCTCATCAATATCGTACATCGTTCGTCCTTCATCCCCCATATTTTTTCTCGAGCTAACTAAACGATCGAACTATCCTCGGCGATCGATTAATGATAGTTGCGCACGTATCGGACGACGTTTTTCGTCCGATACGTACATCATACACACACACATGTATGTATGTATACATATATGTATAGATACGTATAATAACGTTGAACAGGCAAAAAAGACTCGACAGACAGAAAAGTTCGTACATAATAATACACGGAGCAGAACAACGTAAAGTAGTTCCGACACGATATCGAAGTGACACGATCTCTGCGTATCCATTACGGAAGAATTACACTCACATACGATATGTAGAATCAAATGAAACGATGATATTCGATGCGGTTCGCGCGGCACGGAGCAAATAGAGGCATTACGGCGCTCGGAAGTGTACGAAAAAGAGGCCCCAATTCGAACGAGCCTCTGCGAAGACAAAGGAATTCCCATCTCTATTGGCGTTTCGCAAAGACCGGTTCGTTACAATCGTGGAACCCCTTTCACTCGTTTCTTTTCGTCGGAGCTGGGCAGAATTTGATCGCATTGATTTGCGACGAATACAAACTTTTACTCGCAACGTTGACTTAATCGAATGTTCAGACAAGCTTTCATTTATTCAATCTACGATTGGTACAGTAATGTCTTTTTTAATTGGACTCGGTATGGACTACTGATTATCTATCACAATTTTTTAGAAACAAGTAATCGAACAGTTTGTGAGATACTTTATATTTTACGATACAGTAATGCATCGGTGCAATACGTGAGTAGAAAACTTGTTCAAATTTCGTGTTACGAATAATTAATACGAAATTCTTATTTGCTCTGACAGCATAACATTCAATTGAATTAAAGTATTTGAGTTAAAGTATATTTGGTCCGATTTACGACTCGCATCTTTCTCTTCGTGATAAACAATTTGTTTTACTTCGTATAATTATTAAAAATTTTGCATCCGAACGAAAATTCTGCCCAACGATTTAAATCGCTCGTCAAGCCACGATCGCGATCGTCCTAAGTAGCGGAATATGCGCCTTACTTCGAAATACTTCTGCGCAGCGAGAACGTGGCATAACGTTCGAATAAGCGCGCGTACCTCGTCCGTTCCGCCATCTCGGCATAGTTTCTTTCGTGTACACGTCGCCATCGTCTACGAACGATACCGGCGTCGTCATCGGCTCGTTTCTTGGTCGTTCTTTGCAATCCGGGACGGTTGATTCCTTACGTTGGCTTTGACGCCGTTAAAAAAAGAAATGTTTAAATAAATAAGACCCAGAAAAATATTTGGCAAGCAACGAGCACGATGACTTTCGTCGATGCCATAGCCGTCCGAAACAGCGACCCACGGTTTCGCGAATTTGGCAAGAACGAAGCGAAACAATGCACAACTTCGTGCGTGGAAGAACGGCGAGTGTGTTGTTCTGGTTCATTTTTCTTACAATCTTTTTTCCCCTAACTTCTGATTGGGAAGCGACGAAAAGTGGGCGCACGCTACGCGAGTTTCGTTAGCGTTACAATGATGAGCGGAGGTGATCAACCGTTGTTATTTAATCCTAGCTTCACTTGTAAATACGGTGCGTGTTCCACTTAAAAATGGCGCGATTCATTTCCTTAATAACTATCCGTACAGTTAATTATCGATAGACAGTTAAGTGATATCTTTTCCTTCCACGTTAGCGTTTTTTTCCCGCTTCGTTCACTTATTTATTTTTATTTTTTTTTTTTTTAATGATTTTGCAATTTTCCCCTTCCGATAAATTTAAAAACTTTCGTAACAATTAATTTATACTTAAGGTTCTGTTAATATTAATTATGGCACAATATAAATATTATATTTAAAGTCTTTTTGAAGACATAATAAAAATAAATTTAAGTAGTCTTTCTCCTTATGCTCGACGTTACTTTTTTTTTTTCTATCAATTTCTCGTAATTATACATCGTCCCTAAGCAACGTTATTTTTTTCCGTTTTCGATTCAAAGATGCGTTTCTTACTTCTGTTCTCTTCTCCCTCCCCCTATTATCCCCTCGTGATTTCGCTTTGTGTTATTTTCTCTTTGTTTTTGTTTGGTCTTCCAATTTGAAAAAGAAAAACAAGAAAAGATTTTTCTTTTTTCTTTCAAAAACGAAACCGAAGGAGCGATTGTACCCAAAAGTAATATAATCCGCAAACGCTGTCTCGGACTTTCGCGATATCCAGCTCCTAGTCGAACGTCTTTCACGAGATCGTTGATGTAGTAAATGCACAATGGAACGGTTTTGTTTCTGTCGAAATAAGAACGTCACTTATTAGTCGAAGAGCGATAGACTCGCGCGTCGCCATCACGATGAAATTTCATTTCTTTTATTCGGATACCAGTTGAAAAGTCCGAGAAGCTTTCACAATTTCCCGATGCTCTTTGGTAAGACAATATCACATGATCAAGAAGTTAAAACCAATCGAAAAAAAAAACCAGTCTAATCAGTCGATTTCACCCTAAATGTAGGGATCTTTTTTTTTTTCATCTTTAAAAAAAAAGTCTGGAAAAAAAATTAATTTGAGTCTTTAATTAAACGCCGTATTGAACGTTTAAAAATTATAAAAATCAGCCTTCTCGAAAGTAAACTCGCGTATCAAAGTATTTCGTCACAGCGCCAGGAAATTACAAGCTCGAGCCCTGCGAACTGCCGGCTCAAGTGCGATACAAGTTGTTTATTAAACGAACGATTAAACAAACAAAATAAAAAAAAAAAAAAAAAAGAAGAAAGAATTACGTTAACCAACGTAAAGCATGGATACACGTTTTTACGTGTCAAAGTCCAACGACGGCTCTAACGGGTCGAAACGGAAGCTAGAATCTATTGGTTTATGGTTGTCGTAGGAAAATCCCGTCGAACGTGCACGCCACGATAACGTATCGCGGCATCCACGTTCGGGCGCGGGTAATCCTTCACAATTGGATTCGGTTATTCGTAGTACAGAGTCGGGGCTTACAGTATAAAAAGTCTGCGCACAAGAAAAGTCGGCCACTTGGTATCGTCGGCTGCGATTATACACGATCGACGAGAAAAAAGGAAGTACGCGATACAAATAGCGTTATTCTCGAGACAACAATAACCCACATATCGTCCACACATAGACGCCCAGAGCCTCAACCAACGTCCAAGTTCGCACGGATTGCATCCCATTGCCGATACAGTATTAATGCCTATGCCGCTACCAGTTTTACGACGTTTATATCGTGTTTTTATTATTTTTTTTGTTTTACCTCTTGTAAATTCACACGTCAGTCACACAATCTCTTTCTTTCCCTTTCTTGCGTTCTTATTTTTTTTTTTTTTTTTTTTTAAATCTTATCTTCTCTTGTAATAGCATACGAGACAAAAATCCATGCATTAAAGGTTCGAGAAAAGTTCTTCGATAATATTTCGTATAATAATATTCGCTTTAAATCCTAGAACGATTAGTAATAGTAATAATGTTGGTAATATTCGTTTCTTGATAGAAGATGCGACGCGACGCCTAACTACATCTTTTTTTTTTTTTTTATTTTCTCCACGTGTAAACAGTAAAAGACCTAAAGTTCCTTGTTTTAGTTTGAAGACGTTGGCACATTGGAATAGATTCTTTGTGTGTGTGTGCGTGTGAGAGAGTGTGTACGCGCGTGTGTGCGTGTGTGTGTGTGTGTCTGTGTTCGTGTGTATCATATCTTTTTTTTTTTTTTGGGGTTTTCTCATTTTTCGCAATTTTCGATTTAAACACCGTGACAGTGTACAAATGGGTCGAGTACCCTGAAGAGATATGTTTATTTATATCCAAACACTGAGCATCGTCCATCGATCCCGTGGCGACAGCTGATCGTCGTCAACGTTGATTCCCTTTGGTCTCGCTCAATGAAAAAGAAGAAAACTAACGAAACAAATAAAAATAAACGTAACAGTCAAATTCACTTTGGTATCGTACCGATTATTCACGTTAATCTCGAGCCCCGGGGCTCGTCGTTCCTTTTTCCACGAAAATTTTCCCGTCGACAAATTTTTTTTCCAAAAACGAATCAGCGGTCGCCGCACGGATCGCAGGGAACCTTCGACAGCATCCGATTCAATCTTCTCGGCTTAAAAGAGTCTCGTCTCGGCTTTTATCTTCGTCGTAATTTTTGTTCTTTTACAATTAACTTACACAACACCGAACATCGACCTAATTCCGTATACTTCTTTTCGTTTTTTTCACCATCATATACCTCTAATATTTTCGTTCCAGTATACCCAACTGAAGGACATCACAGAATTTCCCGATATTAATTAACCAATTAATTTCCTCTCGCTGTACACGCGATCAGCACGCACGCCGGCAATCATAATGTGGAACTCGTTTCGCTAAACATTTCTTCCTTAATTTTGTTGTTGTTGTTATTCATCGTTTAACCCTTCCCCGCGCCCACCGTGTCGCCTGCCACCCCCCGGCCCCCCCCCCACCCGATCCACCCGTTCCCGCGTTCCTTGTTCCCCTTTTATTTTGTAGTCGCCGAATATATCGTATCTTTGATGCTTCTTCGCGTTCGACATATACATATCACAGAATTATAAAAGGTTTCCAAAATGACTAGGATAATTTTCACTAACGAATTCTATCTTCAGCTTCTCCCGAGTCGAAAAGAAATTTTCGGAAAGCAAAGATGTCCACGCGCAAGTCGCCGCCCTCCCCCCATTTTCGCGGAAGGAACGTTTCTCTTTATTTTTGTTTCACTCTCGTTCATTCTTTTCTATCTCCACATTATGCTTTGGCCGGTCGTGGATAAGACGTACTTCGTTTGTTTTATTTATTCTTCTTTTTTTTTTTTTCAATCGTTTCTACCTCTACGAATGTATACGCAAATATTTTAAAAACTCCCGCCATCGGAAGACACCTAAATCTAAAATCGTATAATTTCTCTCTCGCTCTCTCACGGTATACATCTCGTTCTCGCGAAGATATGTTTTTGGAAAACTTGTTCTCCCTGTCCTAGCATCGACTCGTTTCCGTTCACTTTCCTCGATCCCCAGTGCTAACGCCGCTTTAAAAACCCGCGAAGACTGCATCTCGCGCCCCAACCCGTTTCTTTTAAATACATTTCCCTCATTCCATAACTCCCCCGCTACTACGGAACCTAAGAATTAGACGTAGACGTAATTTGTTTTATTCATTTTCCCCTCAAATAATTTGTACTTGCTCGTTAGTTATAATGGCATTTCCTTTGTTTCATTTATTTACTTTTTTTTTTTTCCTTTTGTTGCTTCCTTGTAACCCCCTTACGATAAAACATCAACTTTGTTTCTTTTTACACTGAGCTCTAGACCTGAATATGTTACGCGATGAATAACTCTTTTAGGGCGTTTTCTTTTCACCTTGTACGTACGTTAACGTGGATGTGTATCGAAGATTCAAAGAGAAACAGGGCAGCGCTCGAAGGTCTCGCAAGGAATCGCCCTCGGGCGCCATCTTTCCCATTCGTTTCACCCCCTCGTCTACGTTTCGCACGCCCCGAATCCCCGATCGCGATCGCTTTCCTTCGGCCTGACTCTCGATCTCTCTGTCGTTTGCCGATATCCTTGGTCGAGACGAAAGAAAAGTTTATTCGTAGTTCTGAGACGACGATGCGTCGCTTCGGGACCCGAATTCTATTTTACCTCTTACTCGTAATATTGCACATTCGCCAACGAGACGCGTCGATCGATCGACCCTTCGCGAACGAGCATCTTGGAACAATCCGAACGCTAATAGTCGTCCAGCGCAGACGGTCTTACGATAAACTGAACGCATACACGCGTCGAGCGTCCGCAAAGGGTTGACCGTATCAATTTATTCGCGTTGTACTCGATACGTGAATGAAAGGAGGACGCCCGAGAGTTTTCACCGCCCTGCCCCGTCTTGATCTATCTACGTCGAACTACTTTCGTTTCTTTTGCTTCTCGTTCTCATTCCATCCCTTGTAAGACCTGAACAAGAGAATATCATCGTTATCAATTATATCGTACAGCTCAAAATATTACTTTTAAAGAGTTAAAAATATAGTCTGTGTAATTTGCGCGCACGAAGGACCTGTACACGTGTAGGAGCCCATATAACTTCTACTTGCACTTTTCCACGCTCCTCCTCCCTTCCAATTCCCGTCGTCTTTTCCCTTGTCTTCGACCCCCTCTATCCTATCCGTTCATTCCGTTCTACTCGGCCTTGCCCCAAGAATTCGATCCTGCCTCTCTTCTCAATCTCTCCCGTTTCCCCGAATTTGAGCACAATATTCGTAGAGTTTGTAATTGAATTTCACTTAGGCCTAAGATCCTCGCGATCCCCTATCGTTCGACTGCACAACATTCACGGCATTGCGCTTTAGCACGCGTGTGTGCGTGCGCGACGTGCCCTCATTTAGCTAGCGAAAGCTCCAGCGACGGAAACGTACACACATACGCGCGCGCACGGCTGTTACTATCGTTTCTGATACGGTTTCACGGTTACGTATCCTCGTCTTGCTGCCTCTCTGCTTCTCGTTCCCGCGTCCTTCGCGACTCGACGTCGTCGCCGCGCGACCCTTCCTCAGGTAAAGATCTCGGCCGACGTCGCAACCGCCAGCAAGATAACATTGTGAATTGACGCGATTTGGTGACACGAGAGATCGGCGCACAGACCAGGGATGAATGTTTTTAGATGAGAGGACGAAGCTTCGGAACGGTCTGGCTTGCTGTAAGCGTCAGTTTCCATGCAACGGGGAGTTACGATTCTTCGGATCGAAATGTCACGATAAGGTGATATTTACAGTTTCCACGATGATGAGAGATGTCGTGGTACTCTGGAAATTGTCACTCCGTGTCGCGTGAAAACGGACCTTGGGGTGTATAACTGTCATACATCGATCTTGGAATCAAAAATTTGTTGGGAATTTTTAAAGTGAGAATTATGAAACGTTGAGAGTTTAGATTTGAATTCCGAGAGCGTATACTTCGAAGTATCGTCGAATAAAATTTGTATCGAGAAGTATTGGAAAATGACGGCGAGGTTTTCTTGAAATTACTGCATAAGAGTTAGTCTAGCTTTTCGATGGAAATAATTAACCTTTTCCTTCCAACGGTGGAAATGTAAATAAAGGATTTTTCTTAGAACCTCGATTATTGCTTTCGAATTAGTCAATTGTGAGTTGCAGCGATGGCCAGCCATGCAAACATACCAAGAAACGTTAAAGCAAACTGGTTGAAGCAATTTTCCAATATTCTTCGATACACATTTTACAAGATATAGTTCGAAGTATATCAACTCATGTATTCAAATATGAACTTTCTGCGTGGCATATCTTTTATGTTAAAAATTCCTTAGAATTACCCAGTTTTGGTCGCTTTAAAGATTCACTCGGACTGTCCACTTTCCTTGGCAGAAGAATTTTAATTTTGCCAGATCGATGGGTAATCCACAATCAGGGATCAATAATTTGGAATTCTTCTAAAAGAATCACGATTACCGAGTACTTGTTACTTAACCAAACGTAACTACGCGTAGACTAAACGGACTTTAATGGAAATATGTATTTTATAATTTTTAGAAATGTGCAAAGGTATCGTGCATCCCTGATCGCAAGACCTTTAAATCAAAACCGTATATATAATCTATATATTCCATCTGTATGTATATTCCATGAACATGTCAATCGCGACTCAGTAATAATTAACCAGAAATTCTGCCCAAGATGATGCCACAGAAAAGTCGACAGTACGAGTGAGCCCTGAAACACTTCCTCTCATCCCTGAAGCGATCCTCCTGCTTCCATCCGTGAAACCCGATTTCGGTCTACGAATTTCCGCAAGGGAATTCGCCTGAACGCCAACCGACGTCGTAGTCACCTCTGATCCCTTCTTAGAATGTCTTAAAGCAATAGTCGCATCTCGAGACCTCGTTTAAAATCGGTCCAGGCCCCCCCGACACCTCGGGGCCTCGACGCAATGGAATGTATTCTCAGCTCGCGAAAGCGCGTGCCACGGCAACCATAAACGAACCGGCGATAATTCTCGCGAATAATCACGGATCGCGTCTCAGTCGATTACTCTCCTCTTTTCTTCTTTGGATTCGATCGCAGTCTTGACACGAGGGGAGCTACGAAACGACGACTACGAGCGGAGGCGCGTTTCTCTGACGGAAGAGCGTCGGCGGACGAGTCGACGGAAGGTATCGACGACGATCGCAGGACCGCCACCGCGCGGGACCGTTTTCGTTCGCGATCGACGCGTTTCGAGGTCGCGTGGCTCGATCTCCCGTGATCGAGCCGGCATACGGCGACGGCGAGCAGCGAAGAGCCGAATCGGAAACGTGAACGCGTCGTCGCGCGTTACGCGAACGACGACGTGGGGGGTCCGGGGACGGGGTGACTGTAAGACGGTCCCGACATTTTCATTGCGGCTGCTGCTGCATCTGGGCCTGGCGCATGCTGCCTAGAACGTTCTTGATCGTGCTGGTCTTCAGCAGCCTCTTCAGCATGCCGCTCGAGCCGCGATGCTGGAGGCTCTTGTGCGTCGTGAGCGAGTTCTTCGTGCGGTACCTGCGATTGCAAAACTCGCAAACGTAGAGGGTGTCCGATTGCTCGTGCTTGTCCTGGAAATGACGCTTCAGGGAGTAGTAGCATGAGAAGTTGCGACGGCAGTACGGGCATTCCTGAGGCTCGTTTATGCCGCCCGCCGTTGGCGGCGGCATCCGGTACATGGCAGAGGGAGGCGTCGACGGTGCTGGATGCATCCCGTTGCCCGTACCTGCAAAACCGTCCTTTGTCAGACATGCGTGCGCTCAGATCGTCTCTGATCGTTCCGCGAGAACAGTATCATAGCTTTTTTACCGTAGACAATTTCAGTGGACTGGATCAACCAAAATGTTTTACTACGCCGTCATTCTTTATACTTCTGCTACTCAAATTAATATTTGAATCATTAAGCGTTATAGAAAAAAAAAAAGGTAATCTCTCTCATTCTACAATACTTTCTCCGATATTGATTGATTCTAACTGATGATTCCTGTATTATGCACTTGACGAATTTAATAACAAATACTGATTCTCAATGCTATTTTGCTTATATTATATTCTGTATACAATATATTCGTGTATTTTTATAGAGGTTAATAAATAGCGTAAGATACATCCGGTCCACTCAAACATCCTACAGTTAATTTTCTTTCACTTTCTAGACTTTAATGATTACTCTCAAACAATCAATCGACCTGACTACGATACCAAAAAGGAGACGATAGAGTATCATGATACTGTTCCCGTGGCAAAATGTAAAATAAATATCATTCCCTTACAAACAAAATACCCAACCTGTCCACTTTCGATTTTAACGTGTTCCTGCAAGGTAGTAATTCTGCGCGGAGTCGTAGAATTCAGGTCTCCGCTGCTGCGTGAGGAATATTAGGCGTAGATACTCGATAATTTTTAAAATACTAGTGTTTCGTTTACAATGTAACTTGCGATACATGACTGTATCGCGAATATTGATTTTCGTCGAAATAGCTACGTGATTTGACAGAGAATTTGGTTTGTTCTAATTGGATTTCATTTACCACTCCAACAGATTGATTGCTTATTTTTGGTGTTAACGCCAAGCAGATGGTTTCAAATGTCAAGACAAGATCTTAACCAGTCATTTCCAGATTTATGGTCGAGGTAGGTCAGTTAGAGACATTACTGGGATGTAATACTACTCTACAAGGTTTTCAATAGCGTATCAAAAGACCTCTTGAAGCAATTACGCTTGACAAATGGTCATAACTTCGAACGCATTGAGCAGAAACGTTAAATATGACGATACCCCCTCTTGACCAATTCTCTTCATGTCTCGAAGGTGAAGGTCACTTGAAGGTCACTTGAAGGTCACTTCAGAGTCACTTCAAGGCCATTTTAAGGTCGCTTTGCTACGGGTCCTTCTATTTCTCTTTTTATCACTCATCACTTGGCAACGAAATCTTTATTTTTCAAAGTTACATTGCACATGACTTTCAACACTAATATTTCTAAACTTACCGAGTGTCTACGCCTAACGTTCTACAGATAGCAATAGGTACCTGTGTTTCACCATCCTGCAGAAGCACGTTGAAATCATAGAGGAATAGGTTGGGTCTTTTCCATATTAGGATTCAATCTTTCTCGACCGTCCGAGATGGGAAGCAGATGGGAAGAGGTGAACGAATCATCGCGAGTCGAGGAGGAAACGCGCGTTAAACCAGCTTGCCAGAAATTTCGATGTCGGAACATCCAGCGTGGCCCTGGATTAGTAATAGGCTGGAAGCTCGAGTGACGCTATTCTCGTTAAAGGTTCCTCGTTCCATTCGCGAAACGACCTCGGCTCCGCTTTAACGCAACCCTACCATCTGTCACGGGGATCAATCAAGGATTACCACAGGTTGACTCCGCTCCCTGCCGCGAGCATGTGGATGCATCGTCGATCGATATCGGAGCGAATCGAATTGAATCCTGAGCGACCAATGCGACTGGAGGTATCGTTAATTGACCGAAGTGGTAATTAGTCGAGTGAGCAGAGACGAAGAGGACCAAAACCACCATGCCAGACGCGTCGCGATTCGTAACCCAATTAGACGTTTTCCGAATACCGTAATTTCCCGCTGTTAAATAGTCACGGAAAAAGATAAAAAAAAAAAAAAAGAAGGTAAAGTGTTAATTCGACGCTTCAGAGGTGCAAGGCTAACGTAGTCGTGCATGAAACAAGCCACGTTTATTATAGTAGACGCGTTTCGGCTTCGACGAAAGTATCGTGTTTGTGCAATGCAGGGAGAGGCAAAATTATTAGTTCGAATAACGAATGAAATAACGAATTAACGACATATTAATATCTACTTAATATGTATATTATATATAATATATAATTTCATCTATAATCACATATTAATTTATCGTTACGCTCTTCAATATGTGCACAATTTCTACGAATTCGATAGTCATATATAGAAGCTCAACAAACTTCAATTAATTTGCTTATTCGGCATAAACTACAATCCGAATCAAACGATTAAACTACAGTACAACAATTTTTCTATAGTTACTCGTGTATAATAGCTCAACAAATCACGTTTCGTTCGCTTATTCTACTGCAATCTGAATCTCAATCGATTGTACTCTGTTTTAACAAATGACAGGTTACTCGAAAATCGTTAGATCGAATAGATATGGCGAATAAATCATTACAGAGTGTCGTTCGTTATCCGTCGTTCATTATCCATCGTTCGACTAAAATTCTGCCCATCTCCAGTGCGGGGGAGTGCGATGGTCATGCTCGCGCGGTTAGTTCGTGGCGAAAGAGATCGATAAACGCGACAATTTCCCGGAGTGGCGAATAAAATTATGAAAAGCTACGGTTAGCGAAAGAATAAAATTAACGGAAATCAAACGAGACGCAAAAACGCGACGCGCCGTCGTCATGCATCGACGCGAAGGTTCGTTACTCGCATTAATCAAATGAAAATGAAAAAAAAAATATGATTTTCAACAATTTCGAACCGATCGACGAATCGTCTAGGATCGATCCGCCGCTCTCGAAGCCGGCATTCCGTGTTAGGCGGCGAGTATCGAGTCTGCAAAACGAGCATCAAACGACGATACACAATAGCATGCACACAACATCGAACATCGAAAAGCCACGACAGAAATAATGTAAAAAAAAAAAAAAAAAAAATAAAATAAACAGGATAAAAATGGAAGGAGGAGACAAGCGAAATTATATTTAAAAAAGAAAACAACGTACGTAGACGTAAACAGGGTAATTGCCACAAAACACATACATAAGAAAATAGATGGGAGAAGGTAGGGGGTGTTAGTGGGAAAAACCTGAAGCGTAATCGTATATCCTGTTTGGGTCGAGACTCGAAAACTCCTAGTCGGAAATATGTGCACGGTAGTGCTCGGATAACTACGCTGGAATCGAAACTGCACTGTTGCAGTTAGTCGCATTTGATACTCCAGGAATTCTTATACTTCGGACTAAGACTCATTTAGGGTACCGACACATGGCCAATATCATCAAAACAACGATATCGTGTTGATAGTATTGAGAAGTCGTGGTTCACATGGACGACTCAATATCAGTGACACAATATTTCCAATTTTATGTTGAACGGCAACGTCGATGGGATAGAAGTACACGAAATATTGAAGTGATATTGTCTCTGGATGGTCCATGTTCGAGATTCTACAGTAATGTTGACCGTGTGTCAGTACCTTTAGTCATTTAACTTCAAACCGGTGCCGCGCGAGTATCCACGACAGCCGCAAACGCAAACCAAAAATTATTGCATTATAACTTTATTCAGACTGCTATTAATCGTGCACAGTAGGAACTTGGTAAAAAAAAAAAAAATGATACGAAAAATTTGTCGATAGTAATCTATCGAAGATGAAATGAAAAAATATAGTGGACGCTATTAGAGAAATTTACTAAGCTCACAAAAGATTAAATACACCAAATTTTTTAGTTTGCATCGGACACTGTCGCAGAAGTAGGCGAACGGCACCGGTTGGAAATTAGACCAATCGTGTTTTTAATCCCATTGCTGTCGCTAGAGTCGACGGCAGCTCGAGCCAAAGAAATACAAGCAGAGATGATTCCATTTCGGTTATCCGGGTTAGACTCGGCGCAGTTATGCGAGCATTACCGTAAATCCCATCGATCGGTAGATTCAACGATCTCTCCGTTGTTCTAGACGCATCGGATCGAAGTCACCGACAGGGGGTATTATAACGGAGCCGCGAATACCGGAAGAATTCGATCGGCGACCGTACGGTACCGAAGAGAACGAAGGACGACTGGAGGAGAGGAAAGAAAAGCAGTTTCGCGCGGGAGTAGGACGGAGGAATGAACTTGACGCTGGGACGAAAGCTCGAACCGCGCGAAGAAGACGCAGAAGAAGAATAAGAAGAAGAACAAGAGGAGGAGGAGGAGAAGAAGAAGAAGAAGAAGAAGAAGAAGGGCCAATCCACGTAGTAGTTCGGACCGGTTTCTCTGGCATGCACTCTCTGCGAACGGTGAGGGCAGGGGAGTACCGGAAAAAGGAAGAGGGAACGAACTGTCGACGAGGAGCCGAGGTCGTTGCGAACCAACGATTATGCGATTGTGACCTACGCGAGCGTACCAACGGTTGGGGTTACACACGGTCGAGTAAAAGGGATAACAGAAAGAAGGACGGATAAGTACAGACGGAGCATTAAGGAGGATCGATCGAGAAGATAGAAAAATCACGTGTAAAAGCACACCTTTGAAAAGTGTGTCGTTTGACAGGTACGTGTGCCCCTACCTTATCTAAACCTTCAAAAGAACTTAATGTCAATGTCGCCGGGTCTGCTCTTATGATAGGTATATATATGGGTCATCAGGGAGTTACGCGAGCAGTACACCCGCTCGCAGATGACGCATCTGTACTCCTCCTGTCGCTCGGCGTGCTTGTCGGCAACGTGGCGTTTCAGGGACGCTTTGCTGCATAGCACCTTGTTGCACAGCTGGCAGGTGAACAGCTTCTTCGCTGACTGGGTGTTCAGAGAGTTCAAGGTCATAGAGGTGAGCACTGAAACACAACAATGCACCTCATGCAGCTGCAACCCCCACACTTATACCCTAAAGCCGTATCAAAGGGGTGACGCAAGCGATAAACTCTTTCTCTCTGCGTTCACGTATTCTCTGTTGTCTCTTGTCCTGGTACCGCCCTATCGAGTATCGTTCGACAAATCCCATCCCTCGCTATCTCTTTGCTC